GGAGTGGTGAGAACCCAGCTCTCTCTCTCTAGATATAGCCTTCTGACCCTGATTTGCGTGATCAGTTTTAGTTTTCTAAACCTGATTTTCATAATCAAGTTTAAGTTAGATTCAATATTATAACTGTTTTGTTTGCTTGGCTCCCCTATGTTTATTACCTGGCAATAAATAACTTTCATGATTAAGCTGGTTGCTTCTCTCTCTCTCTCCCCCTCGTTGGTGTTCTTTGGTTTCCTCATTCGCTCTGCAGCAACACTCCTCGTACCTAAGCTAAAGATCCCTGCAGCGCCGAAAAATCCTGTGGGGTTTGCTCCTCCTGTGGGTTACGACCAGAACAATTGTAACGTGGAAGTGGGGGTAGAGACGTGCTGAACCAGGGACATATGAGGGTGGCAGCTTAGAGGTGCTGTTGGATTCAGCCTGCTGAGTCCTGGGACATATAAGGGGTCAGCTTGGGAGTGCTGATTAACTTGGTCCTTTCAGATGTGCTCTGTTAATGTATCTGTGTTTGTGTGTTCATCTGATTCTGGGGCTGGAAGAACCCAGCCCTGGGGAACCTAGGTCCTCCAGGATAGCTCCATTGGGAGGGAACTTGCAGCAGGGAGAGGTAGAGCTCTGTGTGAGAACACAAGTGTCACAAGCAGTCCATTGATAGAAGTACAGACACCTCCCCCACCCCCAAGAGAGTAACCCTAATAAATGAGCATACCCAAAAGTAACAGGCAAAGCTGGTAACAAATCCCAAAGTTATTCTCTTTAACAGGTAATCCCTGGGTGAATCTCCAGGCTTCATGTAATCTGCACTGGTTAACACCTTCATGGGTCTTTGACCTGTCTCTTTCCCTAACAGCATAATAAATCATGGTATCAGATGTTGTGCTTCTGGCTGCCTATCCAAAGCATTTTTCACTCTATCTACTGCCTGTCTAATCTCTCCAGTGGTAGCTGCCCTGATTAACCTATAAAATTCACTCATATTTAAATTCTCTGTTCCTCCTAATTCTGCCCACTGTACTAGCCATGTGGCTAAATTTTTCATATTCACTGGGCCTACTGACTTTACCATCAATTGTAAGTCTGATGAACTAGCAAGGATTATTTGTGTCTGCTCTGACTGTATCTCCCCCGCTGCATCCTTAATGGTTGATCTCGGTTCTCTCGCTGCTACAGACTTTCCTGGCTTAGGCTCTCCCGAACAGTTTCTTATTTCTTCCCTCAACATAGTATAAAGCCCCTCTCAATGTTGGCCAAATTCCCTTTTCTCTTGACCCCCCTCACAAATCCTCTCCATACCAAATATCATTGGAATCCAAATCCAAATCTCTCTCTTTCTGACATACAGCCACAACTTGCAGCTCCTGTGTTTGCTCTTGCTTTTTCAATGCTGCTATAGTTTTCTGGCACCAACAGTGAGAAATGCTTGTGATCGCCTCTTCCTTTTCCTTAGAGAAATCTCAAATTAACTGTTTCATTCCTATCACTTGATGATCTAATTTATCTTTGTCTCCTTTAATCTTTTCCCAATCCATCATTCTTTTCTCCAATTCCCTATTTTGTTTCCCCATTAGTTCTGAGTTTGCATTATCTGTGCTTGCCTCACTTCCCATTCCATATTTTCCTGGCAAGTTTTAAAATTCTCTTGTAATGTTTGCAACTCTTCACAGATTTCCCCCTTACACGCAATTACCTTTTTTACAGGTTGCTACAACAGCCATACTACAGCCGTTTGCTTTTTACTGGCATTAGGCTTGTACAGCTGTACATATTTCTCAAACCTGTTCTCTAAGGTATCAAATGTACATCTGGTTCCACCGCACCTTCCATCCAAGACCATGTCCCAAATGCAATAATCTCCTTCTCTAACAGAGAAGGGACTTTAACTTTAGTCCACTGGGGTGCCTCTTCCACTCCTTTACTTCTCTTCTTAAACAGTGTTTTAAACATTATTACACTAACACCACGTGGTATCTCACACGTTTTTTTTTTTCTCACACATTTCACAAATAAAGAATCACCCTTATTAGTCTTAAATAAGGACTCCCCCAACATTGTAAGACCCCATCTCGAAATCCGGCACTCCTTAATATCTCTCTCCCCTCCGCATTCTCCACCACTTGTTAGACCCGCAATAGAGGTCTTCCTAGGGGATACAGGAGCAAGCAGATACTGGACACGGTGTTAGTATATAATACTCTAAATCAGGGGTCGGCAGCCTTTCAGAAGTGGGGTGCCAAGTCTTCATTTATTCATTCTAATTTAAGGTTTCACATGCCAGTCGTACATTTTAATGTTTTTAGAAGGTCTCTTTCTATAAGTCTATAATATATAACTAAACTATTGTTGTACGTAAAGTAAATACTGTTTTAAAAATATTTAAGAAGCTTCATTTAAAATTAAATTAAAATGCAGAGCCCCCCGGACCGGTGGCTAGGACCCGGGCAGCGTGAGTGCCCCTGAAAATCCGCTCGCGTGCCGCCTTCAGCACACGTGCCCTAGGTTGCCTGCCCCTGCTCTAAATGCTCTTTATTGATTACAAAACAAACCTTACTCACTCCGCATTCACGCCCCAAACATACTATACCAGAGTCCAAAGGTCAGAATGGTCCCATTGGCCAGTCAAGGTTCCTTCCATCAGGATAGGATCATAAGTTGCGGGAAGCTGGCGAAAACCACATCTATATCCACACGGGACTTTGGATCAATAAACGACTCCGATTTGCAGAAATCATAGGCACCCATTTATAGTCCATTCTGTCTCATCATCAGTTCTTTGCCTTTGTTTACTAGGCCTTCTACCCACACAATTCCAAAGAGACAATCCTAGGCGGGTCGCCATGATCCCAGGTGTGCCATTTCCTCCAATTCTTATACAATTTTATATCAGTCCAGCTGGTGTTATTTCCTTTTCTGATGATTTTCCATATTTTTCTCAGAACATAAGATTGTTTTTGCACAGAGTTCTAATAGTCCTTGACCTTAAGTCCTTGCTTTGGTTGCTAACTTGCAATGCACGCATTCATGTCAAGCACGCGTCATTCATACCAGGCCACAATGACCTATAACATATTACATGGATATATGAATCACAATGTATATATATATCCCAACACCCTGAAGACCTTAGACTTCAAGAGGAGACAGTCTCACTCAATATAGGGAAGACTAAAGTGCTCTATCAACCTGCTTCAAGCCTTGCACATGACCCACCACAAATCTCCATCGAGGGTCAGACTTTGGAGACAGTTGAGCACTTTTGCTACCTCTGTAGCCAACTTTCTCAAAATGCAAAAATCGAGAATGAGATCCAGCACATGATCTAGTGCTCAAATGCTTCCTTTGGGAAATTGCTCCGATGCGTTTTCATGGACTGTGACCTACAGCAGGACACCAAGATCCAGGTCTATAAGACAATTGTAGTTCCTACACTTCCGTATGGATGCGAAACCTGGGTGACCTATCGACAGCACCACAAGAGTCTGGAGAGGTATCACCAAGGATGCCTCGAGAAGATCCTTTTCATCAAGTGGCAAAATTGCCACACTAACGCCAGCATCCTTCACTGAAGCCAATGTCACCAGCAGTGAAGCAATGATTCTTATGCACGAACTTCGCTGGGCTGGACATTGTGTGCGGATGCCAGACTCTCGCCTCTCAAAACCAGTCCTCTACTCTCAGCTCACCCATAGTCAAAGATCCTGTGGTGGTCAGAGGAAATGCTACAAAGGCACACTGAAAGTGTATCTTAAGAAAACTGATGTGGACATCACAAGCTGGGAGGAGCAAGCCACCAACCGACCCCAATGGCGCCATATCCTCCATCAGGCAGTGGCCTGCTTTGTGGAGAAGCGTCTTGTCCTTGAAGCTGAAAAGAGAAAGAGGAGGAAGGAAAAAGAAATAACTTTCTCCTCGCAAGCCGCTGGCCTGCCACAAAATGTCAGTACCTACATGGTACTGTGGGTGGATTTGCGGTTCCAGGATCAGACTCCTGAGTCATTTCAGGACCCATATGCAAATCTGTGGTATAGATCATCCTCGAATCGAGGGATTGCCAATCATCGTAAACCAGATGCTTGCTTGGAAGTTCATGTCCTGCACATGAACTTGGCAAAGGCATAGCTCGCGTTGCTGCAACACAGGCACTCCCAGGAAGTCCTAGGCCCTGGGTATTCATGTAAACACGTTCCGGAAGGCAAGCCCAGGTCCACCCCAGCACACAGGTGCGATATAAGCACAATGCTGGGAGCTGGCACAGGAACACACGACCCAAGTAAGACAAGGATGGGAGGACAGGCTGATGGATGAACTTGTTTGTATCGATGTGTGGAAGGAGCAGCCGCTGGAGGGGCTGTGGGGGCAGCTGAGGGGGCAGCAGACAGTCCTGCTGCTGGCTGATCTGGTCCATTGTCATGGGCATACATGTGCTAGTGTCCCTGTAACCAGGGAGCCAGGGTCCTAGGGCCGTGCTCCGTTGACAATAAACCTGGCCAAGGCCTTTGCCACGGAACAAAGGGGGGAGGGATAGCTCAGTGGTTTGAGCATTGGCCTGCTAAACCCAGGGTTGTGAGTTCAATCCTTGAGGGGGCCGTTTAGGGATCTGGGGCAAAAATTGGGGATTGGTCCTGCTTTGAGCAGGGGGTTGGACTAGATGACTCCTGAGGTCCCTTCCAACCCTGATATTCTATGATTCTATGAACCCAGTCTGTGGTCTTTCTAGGTAGTGTTATTGAGGCCTGTCAGACCAGCTCCCTGTGCAGGCTGTGACAGCACGCAAAGAGAACACACACGCACCCAACTGCCACCACTGAGAACCCAGTGATGCGTGACTGTGTCACAAAGATCCTCCTGATGTCACAGTACAAGGACAATAGAAAAGCTGATTCTAAAGGCAGATCTCTCTCCTGCTCAGCGGCTGGTGGGAGGAGAGGGCTAGAAGTGTCTCCAGGCAGGGACCCAAAGTCTGAGTGACTGTGACAGGATACTCTCTGCCTCATTCTGCCACCATGAAGTTCCAGAGGAAGAGGGACATCAAGCAGCAGATCCGGGAGCTGCGTGCCATCATCTCACTGCAAGGTGATGCTCTCTTTCTTGGCCAGGCTGTGACAGGCTGGAGTGAAAAGCCTTCCTGAGCCCGTCAAGCTGCCAGGACCCAGGAGCCAAGTGCAATCCTAGGCAGCAGGTCCGATGAGGTTGTAGCTGGGTTTGCAGCAGGCTCCAGAAAGGGCTCAGATGAGATGTGGGAGAAGGAAACCCCACAGATATTGATGAGCTGGGAGGTGGGGGTGGGCATGGAGGTCTAGTGACCAATAACCCTCAATGATGCCTGATGGGCATTGTGAGCCTTTAGAAATATGGGTCCAAATCCTGGCTGCCTAACACTTATGGACACACACCAGAAATCCCCTGGGCAGAGGGAGGTCTGGGTCCTGCAAAAAAAACCCAGAGAGGCTGCTGTGCTGGCCCTCGGTGAAAGGAGCTGTTGAGGGGCACCCCAGACTGGGAGTCACCTGCCCAAAGTCTGGGCTGGGGCTGCTGTAGGTCAGACCACGGGTGCATGGGGCTGTCTGGCTTCTGCAGCAGCAATGTGTGGCTGGCTGAGGATGCAGAATTTGACCTCTACAATGGAAATCCCAAGATGTTTCCATAGAATTATCCAATCCAGAAGGGGTGGGGGTTAAACGTGGAGCCAGATCCTCAGCTGGTCACCTCAGTGACATGCCCTGGGCACCAATTCTGTGACGGTGAGTTCCACCCACTCGCAGCGGAGCATGCAGTGCCAGGCCTTCCCCGTCAGAGCCTGGCGCATCGTGGCGAGGGACCTGGGTCTGCCCTTTGACTGAAATCCTCAGTTTACCTCTAGAACAAGGGAAGAAGCTTTTTGCGCATTCGACGGAGGAGAAGCTCACTCAGAACAAAGGGCTCATCAGCTTCCTTCGCGGGAATGTGCACAAGGAGATGTGCACCCTGGGCGTGGCTCAGAAGGTACCCACGCCCCCAGCCGGGGCATTGCTCTGCCAGCGCCTGGCTCTGCCCTCATGCCAAGGGGCAAGCTTGCTAAGCCTAACCCAGAGAGCCATCAGGGTGTGTGCAATCCCTGAGCCCCAGCACCCCAAACTGCTCCAGCTGAGGCTCTCCAACACTGTGCAGGTCTGAGCGGATTCACCTTCCACCCCCGGGGCCAGCAGAAGACAAAGGGAAATACCATTCAGTACTGGTACTGCTGCCTGGATCCCCTCCTGCCCCCTTGGTCCCTGTTCTCCTGCCCCAACACCCAGCTTTGCAGCCCCCCGGGCCCCCTGCCCACCCCAGGCTGCCCCTCTGCTCTTCATCCCCCCAAACCCTGCTCCCAGCCTTGGGCATCTCTCCCCTGGACTCCCTCAGCCACCTCGCTGCCCAGCCAGGGCTGCTACTAACCCCCGTCCTGCCCATGTCACGCACTTCCCCAGCTCCGGGCACTGCCCCCGCTGTGCCCCCCAGCACAGGCAGGCTGCTTCTCTCAGGGAGGCCGCTTCTCCCAGGGAGGCCCTGGCCAGCTCTCCTCCTGCTCCCCTCCCTCTGTGCCCCCTTTGGATCCTTCTCCCCATCATCCTTGTGCTGCCTTCCAGGCTCCCCTGCCCACAATGCTGACCTCCCCCAGCAGTGACCCGTGTGTCCTCCCAGGGTCTGAGCTTCTCCCACTGGCTCTGCAGTGCAGTGTGAGCTCCGTGGGGCAGGGCTGTTTCTTCATGGGCCAGCTACAGCTGCCCCAAGCAGCTCTGCCCCTTGGACATTGAAAACTGGCCTGCTAGTCAGAACTGGGCTGGCTACAGGGGGCAGTATGGCCTAGCAGTCTGAGTAAAAACGGGGGCCCAGGAATTCCTGAGTATTAAGCCAAGCTCTGACAATCTCACTTGCTGTGAGATCTTGGGCAAGTCACTATGGCATAGTTTGGGGCATCTGTGCTTTGGGCCCCAACATGATCTATCCTGGGCCTGGTTTCCAGAGGCACTGAGTGCTGAGAGCACCCACACTAGTCAGCCGGGGGCGTGGAAGTTCAGCCCCTCTGAAAGGCAGGTTCTAGCTGTCTCAGGAGGGGAAGCCAAAAATTGAGGCCCCTAAAATGTGTAGACACTTTCGCCTTACCCTGCCTTGCTTTCAGCCATTGGCAGCTGAGGATGCTCCCGTAGCTGGGGGTTGGGAGGGAGGTCAGCCCTTGACTGGGAATAATGCATTAACAATTACTGTGTGCGGATGCACTCACAAATTATTAGAAGTAGAACTTTGATCCCAAGTTTCTCTCTGCTCCTCTCCTGCCCACAGTATGACAAGGTGACGATTTCCCGGGCATGCTGGGAGCAAAAGCGCTTGAAGATGCATTTAGCCAGGAGCACCGTGGAGGTAATTGGCAGAGCACACACCCAGTCTGTCTGGCATTTACTGCTCAGTGACAGAGCAGAGAAAACGGGGGAAAGAGGACTGGAGGTGGCCCTAAAGGAAATTGTCCCTCTCAGTGATATGCCATCAAACCTCTGCTCCAGGGGACTGTACTGTAGTGAGTTGGGGAGTGTGTGTGCATGTGTGAACACACTCATGTGTGTCCCACCACCCTGTGCTGGATGGAATCAGAACTGCTCGACTGTGTGCCATAGACCCTATACTGCTAACAGTTACTGGAGATTCTCCTCTAGCTCAGGTGGCAAGGCCTTTGTTTCTGGAGCAGGAGGGTCTGTGCTATTGTCACAGAGAAGATCTCTGAACAGTGGCAGTGTGCAGCAGAGACCCCAGGAAAGGTTCATGTGGCTCCCTTGTGTTACAATGTGTTCCTGCCAGTCACACCAGCTACTGTCAGTTCAAAGGCTTGTCACCGTGACGTACTGCCCCGGTGCTGTCCTCACCCTAGCTAGGGACCTTCCCTTCCTGCTGGATTCAAGACATGCCAGAGGTTAACAGGGGAGCAGCAGGGGCTACAGCATCAGCTCAGCTGGGGCCCTCACTGCTGGCAGATCAGCGGTCACTTCCAGCCCCAGTGGCCCTGTTTTCCCTTGGCGGGAGCAGCACCAGGGAGAGGAGAGGGATTCTGGGGGCACAGGTGTGTACTACTGATTTCCAGGCTTTGGTGGGATTAGAGCATCAGACTTTTCCACTGACTTTCAGACCCAGATCTGCATTCTGCAAAGAGCCCCTGCATGGATTCCTACCTGGTGTGTCACAGCTTGCATGAGCTCCAGTGATGGGTCCCACTCTTTACACTGGGCCAAACCCACACCCCAGAGCCCAGATCTCCCAGCCTGCACCCAGCAGGACTCCAGCTCGAGGCTCTGTCTGACATCGATCTTAGGGCTTATCCTGCTCCTGTCACTGTGGTATCTGGGCACCTGCCATGCGCAATCAGCAGCTATTGTGGCCATCACCTCATCCCTGGCTCTCCTCCCTTTGGGATCTCTGCCTATCGCCAGGCTGCCTTTGGGCTGGCTGAGGGTGGGGTGGTTCAGAAGCTCACTTGGGGCCAAGCCCTCTGCAGGCTGCTCGTGGGTGAGCCCACCCAGTGCTCCCTGAGTGCCACTGTGTCTCTTTCAGGCCGCCCGAGAGAAGCTGCAAAACTCCATCTTTGACAGAATGAATGAGCACAATGTGCTGCTGTATGAGGTGAAGAAGCGGGGCGGGATGCTGGAGGGGCTGCAGAGAAAGCTGCGACACCTGGCAGACATGGAAGGAGTGGACAGACAGGGCCAGATACAACAGCAGGTGATAAGGGCTCAGCTCCAGTGGAAGACTGTGCATGCCAGAAATCTGTGGTAATAGCAATGGGCCAGGTCCCGGGAAGGGCTGTGAACTTACAGGTCCAACTGACTTCAGTTGGACCTGCAGGGGCATGGGCATCTCTGGAACCAGCCCAAGATGTGGCTTTTTTGGATGATGGTTAGCTCTGGACAGTCCCCATGTCCTTCCCAGTTTTCATGGGCACTCATACCCAACCAAGCACACTCATGCATGTGCACACTTAGGCCATACATGCACCTGTGTGCTCACTTGCACTTCTGCACCGTGAAGGCCCCACATCACAGGGACCTTGTTCCAGCTGCAGAGGCCTGGATGAGGAACCCCCTGGGGAGTCCATCTCCAATTCTAGTTCAGCCAGAGGGGTGGCCACAGAGTGACCCCAGACCTTCCCCTGGCTGCAGAGACTGACCCCAGTCCTTCCACTGCACCGCTAGTACCACAAATTCCGCAGCGGAAGAGAACCTGGGCCCAGTACAAACTAACCTACTAATGCTACTGGGCAGGAGCAGCAAAGAGAGGAGATGAAAGGCAGGTCTGAAGCCCCATTTCCTGGGCTCATGCACCCAGAAGTTCCCAGGCTGGCTGCCCTGCTCTGTACACTAGCAGCATGCAGCCTTCCCACTGTCACCCCTAGCTGGAATCCATTATCAGTATCCCTCCTGTCCCCTGTAGCCGCCAGAAGAAAGGAGCTCACACAGTCAGTGGCCTCTCATGGGGAGGATGCTGGGCTTCAGTCCATGGCTAAGGGCAATGCAGCCTGGAAGAATCCTAACCTACCAGAGGAGAGCCCCGGGGCTGTGTCAAAAAGAGATTTTAAATGAATATAAGTCTACTGGAGCACCAAACCAATTGGCCCTCCCCATTCCTGAGGGCTCTGCAGCCCTAGCCAGCCAGCCCCAGGACTCTGAGTTGGCCCATCTGGTCCCCAGGAGCAGTCTCATGTTCCAGGCAACCCAGCAAAGCGACACAAGATCCTTCTCTGTTGCAGGTGATTCGTCAGCTGGAGAATAACACAGAGAAAATGCTTATGAAAATCAGGACTGGTGAAAAGATTTATTATCTGTATCTGAAGATGGTTGATTTCCTGAAGGATGTGAGCCTCCTCCCCGCACCATATGATCTCCCCAGGCTACCGTGTGCCCCAAACAGGGTCATAATGCCACCTTAGGGCCCCACCCTTTGCCACTGGTGTGGGCAGGATCAAGCTCTAATTCGTTAATTTAGAGCAAAACAGTTGTGGGATGGGACTAGAACCCAACTCATGGACCATGGAGTAGCATAAAGGAGCAGGTCCAGGCATTGGCCAGAGGGGATCACTCAAGACAACCCCTTGTCCACCTGGAAATTAGGTGCCAGGTGCATTGTTTAAGAGAAGCTGATTGCACTAATGATCTTGCTGTGCTGGGTCTGCTTTGCGGCTAGAGATAAACCAGCCATAGTGTTCAGCTGTAAACTGCAACTTCCCCACAGCTCCTGGGTGTTTGGATCCAGAGTCTTGGCTCAAGCCAGTCTCTACCTGGAATCATAGAATCATAGAATATCAGGGGTGGAAGGGACCTCAGGAGGTCATCTAGTCCAACCCCCTGCTCAAAGCAGGACCAATCCCCAACTAAAGCATCCCAGCCAGGGCTTTGTCAAGCCTGACCTTAAAAATATCTAAGGAAGGAGATTCCACCACCTCCCTAGGTAACGCATTCCAGTGTTTCACCACCCTCCTAGTGAAAAAGTTTTTCCTAATATCCAACCTAAACCTCCCCCACTGCAACTTGAGACCATTACTCCTTGTTCTGTCATCAGCTACCACTGAGAACAGTCTAGATCCATCCTCTTTGGAACCCCCTTTCAGGTAGTTGAAAGCAGCTATCAAATCCCCCCTCATTCTTCTCTTCCGCACACTAAACAATCTCAGTTCCCTCAGCCTCTCCTCAGAAGTCATGTGTTCCAGGCCCTAATCATTTTTGTTGCCCTCTGCTGGACTCTCCAATTTTTCCACATCCTTCTTGTAGTGTGGGGCCCAAAACTGGACACAGTACTCCAGATGAGGCCTCACCAACGTCGAATAGAGGGGAACGATCACGTCCCTTGATCTGCTGGCAATGCCCCTACTTATACATCCCAAAATGCCATTGGCCTTCTTGGCAACAAGGGCACACTGTTGACTCATATCCAGCTTCTCGTCCACTGTAACCCCTAGGTCCTTTTCTGCAGAACTGCTGCCGAGCCATTCGGTCCCTAGTATGTAGCGGTGCATTGGATTCTTCCGTCCTAAGTGCAGGACTCTGCACTTGTCCTTGTTGAACTTCATCAGATTTCTTTGGCCCAATCCTCTAATTTGTCTAGGGCCCTCTGTATCCTATCCCTACCCTCCAGCGTATCTACCTCTCCTCCCAGTTTAGTGTCATCTGCAAACTTGCTGAGGGTGCAATCCACACCATCCTCCAGATCATTAATGAAGATATTGAAGAAAACTGGCCCCAGGACCGACCCTTGGGGCACTCCACTTGATACCGGCTGCCAACTAGACATGGAGTCATTGATCACTACCCATTGAGTCTGACAATCTAGCCAACTTTCTATCCACCTTATAGTCCATTCATCCAGCCCATACTTCTTTAACTTGCTGACAAGAATACTGTGGGAGACTGTGTTAAAAGCTTTGCTAAAGTCAAGGAACAACACATCCACCGCTTTCTCCTCATCCACAGAGCCAGTTATCTCGTCATAAAAGGCAATTAGATTAGTCAGGCATGCCTTGCCCTTGGTGAATCCATGCTGACTGTTCCTGATCACTTTCCTCTCCTCTAAGTGCTTCAGAATTGATTCCTTGAGGACCTGCTCCATGATTTTTCCAGGGACTGAGGTGAGGCTGACTGGCCTGTAGTTCCCAGGATCCTCCTTCTTCCCTTTTTTAAAGATGGGCACTACATTAGCCTTTTTCCAGTCGTCCGGGACCTCCCCCGATCGCCATGAGTTTTCAAAGATAATGGCCAATGGCTCTGCAATCACATCCGCCAACTCCTTTAGCACTCTCAGATGCAGCGCATCCGGCCCCATGGACTTGTGCTGGTCCAGTGAGAATCATCTCACTGAGACCAGCTCCTGTCTCCTGGACCACAGCCTTATCCCTGGGAGTTGGCTCTGGGATTTACAGGCCCAGATATGTGAGATGGCTTCCCTTTCCAAGCCCCATGCTGGCCCTCTTTGGAGGGCTGCCACCTTTCTAATGGCTGGTAATCAGACACCCGAGGCCCCGCCTCCTGCCCTGACTCTTCCTTCCAAGGCCCTGACCCTCTTCGCCTCTTCTCCCAAGGCTCCGCCCTGCTCCACCTCTTCCCTCGAGGCCCTGCCCCTTCTCTGCCTCTTCCCCCAAGGCCCTGCCCCTGAGCACCATGTGCCGCCACAAACTGCAGGAGGCAGCGGCGGCAGCTGCTGCTGAGCTGTCTCCTTCCTTCTACCTCGGGTTGCCACCTTCTTCACAGATCAAAACATCGGACACCAGGGCCTGTCCAATGGCACCAAGACACACGAGCTGAAACCCGGATTGTCTGGGAGAAAACCGGATGGGTGGCAAACCTATCTCTTTGGAGAAGCTGCCTATTGTCCTTACATGTCTCCACAGTAGGGTGCAAGCTGGGGCTGCCAGAACAATAACATGATTGGCGCGTGTTTGGAAAAGCCGCAGTCCTGCTGATGTGTTTTCATTCTGGATTGAGAGCTTTAGAATTGGGGAATATGGTGAAGTCAGCAGATCATAATAGGCTCATCTTGGGAAAGGCATTTTTGGTCTAAAAGGCAATCAGACATTCATGTCCTGGGAAGTCACCAGTGCTGAATGTCGGTGTAAACAGTGTCTTGTTAAAAAATCCAAGCAATTCATGTTACCAGTTTGTGTCGATAAATGCAGACATCTCTGAGATTCAGTGTGCCGAGAACAGTCCACACAGTGGTGTGGAGACAAATCTGCAGTGTGCAGTCCATGCAGTGCTGCGGTGAGGAATCAGCACTGTGCAAGCCATGCAATGCTGCGGTGAGGAATCAGCAGTGTGCAGTCCATGCAGTGCTGCGGTGAGGAATCTGCAGTGTGCAAGCCATGCAATGCTGCGGTGAGGAATCTGCAGTGTGCAGTCCATGCAGGGCTGTGGAGAGGAATCTGCAGTGTGCAATCCATGAAGTTATGCAGTGAGGAATCTGCAGTGTGCAGTCCATGCAGTGATGTGGCGAGAAATCTGTAGTGCAGTGGTTCTCAAACCTTTTTTTCGCGGACCACTTGAACATTGCTGAGGGTCTTGGCGGACTACTTAATGATCTTTCCAAATGTTGTTTGTACCGTTAGCTAACTATTGTTAAGTGCTTTGGATAAAAGCACTATATAAAAAAACCCTTAATAATTACCCTTTTTTTGTTCTACAAATAAAAGTACAAAACTCATATTTTAATACCAGTAGTCTTACCTTTCTAATGTGATGGATGTGCCTTCTCTCCCCCGCTGCAGCAGCCCCTGTAAAAGAAGGAGGAGGGTCTCTCCCTCTCTCCCCTGCCGCGGCAGCCCCTGAGCTGGGGCTGGGAAGGAGGGCCGTCTCTCCCCAGCAGCTGCAGCTCTGAAAGGTCACCTTTTTCTCTGGCCACCACAGAACTGCACTTCCCAAATTCCCCCCACCCCTCCTTCTCTCCCCACTGCCCCCTGCCCCCCATGGCCACCACCTCACCTTACATGTGCATCTTCCCCAGGATCCAAGCACCTAATTAGTGGAGCCATGCCTGCACGGCTCCACTAATTAGGTGCGTGGCCCTTCATCCTCTTGTGTGCGGCCATCCAGGCACGCACCTTAGAGGGAACTATCTGCGGACCAGCTGCATGGAGCTCGTGGACCACTGGTGGTCCACGGATCACAGTTTGAGAACCTCTGCTGTAGTGTATGTTATTGCAAAGCATGGGCTGGGCAATGCTGCAGTGAGAAAGCCAGGAGCTGTTGGGGGTGTGATTTGCAGTCTGGCAGGCATTGAGAAACCAGAAGCAGGTGGTGTGCAGCATTGCAGGGGGTAACGCTTCAAGGAGAGGACAACAAAGCATGCTGTATGGAGCTGTTTGGAAAACACAACTGTATTTTGAAGATCCAGAGTCAGCTCCCATTCTGCCCCTTTGCACCGTCTGCAGGGGTAGACAAGGCCTGTCTATTTGGAGGGGGAGGGGAAAGGGGCTAGAGTGAAAAATAATCAAATAACAGCTGCAGATTCTCATTCTGACATGATGTAATTATTGTAGTAGGCACAGTCTGCTGATAACTCTGTTCTCTTGAATCCAGGGGGGACTCTGAGGGTTGCTTCATGTCCCTTGGTATTAGCTGGCCCTTGGTCATCAGGGATGGGGAAGGTTTCTCCTGTGCCAGGCTCTGACTCCTTTCTTCCCTGGCTCGGAAATGGCTCAGCAAGCAGGGCCTCTTCTTCTTGTGAGGGGGAATTCTGAGTGCCTGGGTGAGACCCCCATCTGTGCTTCTCCCCCTCTTCCTGCAGCTCTCTTCTCTCTTCTTCGGTGCACAAGGACTTTGGAATCCAGATCCTCTCTCATGAAGGAGACCTGAGACAGGTCCAGCCAGTGGCCATTCCTCTGGGGCTGGCTCCCAGAGCCACCTGACTGGCTCTTCTCTTTTTCCTGCCCTGTGCTGAGTTGCATGTGCTCTTTTCACAAAGGGATAGGGGAGGCCAGGCCAGACATCTAAGTGCCAGGATCCTTCACCTGTTCTTGTGCAGCCTCTGGCCCAGGATCCTTCACCTGGGTGGCTAAGGGCTCCAGCTTCCCTCTTCTTGTCAGAGTCGCTGGTTGAGGAGGCACCCGAGGGCCATGTAAAGAGAACAGAAGAGTGGCTTCCCAGCATAAGACAGCCCCCACTAAGGGCAGAGGAGTGGGGGAGCAGTATTGGGCCAAGAAGGCCTTTCCCCCAACAGCTGCTGGGCATGGAGCCCTGGCAGTCTGGCAGGAGGGAGTGGGGAGCGTGCAAGGAGGAAAGACTGGCTGCAGCCACTGAGCAGAGCAATGGATCGGGGAAGGACTGGGACTGTGAGTCAGACTCACCCAGAATCCACTTCCTGCAACTA